AACAGCTTTCGATACACTGCTTTCTTTGTTATAGTGGACCAGTAGAAATTTGTTGGCTTAGACTTTTTATATCTTAACTGCTGCATACAGCTGTGGGTTTTACTATGACAGTTTGCAGCCATGTACTGATGACGGATATGAAACCAGGTGATTCAGTCTTTCCTAGGAAATGAGCAGCTAAGTATTGTCTGAGGCTTCTTTCTTGCACAGAAATGTCCACATCACGGGCATGAACTTTGGGTGAATTGCTTTAGAACAGAAATAGGGAATATAAGGCCTGGGGGATGTATATGACCCCCAACTTGCCTGGATCCAGCCCCCCAGGCTCAGCATGAGCCCATGCTGGCGCGCCAGTCCCCCCACCTCCCTACCGTGGGGCTGGGGCACACAAAATATACTAGGCCGGGCCTCCCGCAGGCTCTGGTGTGCGAGGGGGATGTGGGGGTGTCTTTCTCCTTCTCAGTTTGGGGCCACATCAGTGAGAGGGGTTTTTTGGCCTCTCACTTGGGTACAGCCCCTGACTGATTTTTCTGTGGGACAGTGGCTCCCAACCCAAAAAAGGTGCCCTGCCCTTGCTGTAGAAGGATTCCCTTCTGGGAAGTGTTCCATGCAGGGACAAACTTTGCCTCCTCTCTGCAAACCATCAGTAGTTATTCTGCCCCCCACTTCTACATGGCTCCCCAAAGGTTAAGACACAAGCTAGGTTTACACTACAAGGTTTTTGTGCAAAAACGGCCATTTTTGCGCAAAAAATGGCAGAGCATCCACATCTCAAGCACGTTTTTGTGCAAAAAAAATCCAGTAAATAGACAGGACAGAGGACTTTTGTAGGTAGAATTATTCCTCTCCCCACAAGGAATAATTCCTTTTTGCGCTACAGCTCTTGCGCAAAAAGGCATGTGTGGTCACACCATAGGGGTTTCTTGCATAAAAAGAGCCTATCAGAAAAAGCACAGGTACTCTGATGGCCATTCTGTTCATGGCAATCAGAGCTTTCTTGCACAAGACCATCCATGCAGTGTGGATGCTCCTTTGCACAAAAGCACATCGCTTTTGCGATGCACTTTTGAAGTGTGGATGTACTTTTGCGCAATCATTTTTTGGGGAAGATCTCTTCCGCAAAAAGCTTCTTGTGCAAAAACCCTGCCACGTAGACAAAGCCACATTGAAGGACAGGAGACTTTTCTCTTCTTCTCCTGACACAAAATCAGAATTTTGGAAAAAGATTTCCTGGGGGTGGCAGGTGTGTGTGTTTGAAGATTATTACGCTGTGGAGGGGACAGGAAGAAGCCCCATTGTTTAGAACAGTCCAGACCAGTAATTCCAAATTAGGGAGCAAATCCACACTGCGAAGGGGATGGATATAGCAGGTCTTTTTCATCTCTAGATACCCTGAGCCTCTTGTCACACTGAGAAGCTACTCAAAAGGTGTGTTGTGTAAGGATTAGGTAATGGGTATAAAATGCATGTTTTATGCATGCTGCAGTTTTTACTTCATCTGAATTTCTACCCTGTACCTGGGAAGACAGGTACAGAATTTCCTGAGAGAGAGAGAAATAGTTTGTGCTCCTGGGAGCGAATCTTCCTTGCATTAAAAACTCTAAGGCCTGGTCTACGCTAAAGCGGAAGGTCAGCTTAAGATAACCAACTCCAGCTAGGCTAATTATGTAGCTGCAGTCAACATCTCTTAAAATCACCCTCCACACAGAGGGAGGTCAAAGGGAGCAAATGCTTCTGTTGGCTTCCCTTACTCCTCATGAAGAGCAGGAGTACCGGTGCTGACGGGGGCACCCTCTGAGTTGGAATTAATGGGTCTCCACTAGACCTGCTAAATTGAATCCCAGAAGATCGACTGTGGTGGCAGCATCTTCCACGTAGTGTAGACATGGCCTAAGAGACTTCATGGGAAGCAAGAGTAGGAGCAGGCTCTTACACCACAGTAACACTCACGAAGGATCTCAATCCACTTGACAAACATGCACTAAGGATTTGATCTGTGTATGAAATTCCATTGAGGGCCTTGTTCAGAGAGCCCTTTCAGGTGTGGAACATAAGCTTCACAACAGCCCTGTCCATTAAGTGATCCCTAATTAGAGTGAGGTATCTGGTGAGCAACTGCCGAAGAGTTGAGCAACATTCTCCACTAGTGTAGTCCTTGAAAGTCAAACCAAACTCCGGGAAAACCACGAGTGTTCTGTAAAGAGGTCACAGTGTGGTTCTTAGTGTTTCACTGCGTGTCCATTTTACAGATGGGGATATGTAAGAATACATAGTTCAATTTGGAAGTCTCAACTTTATGTCTGCTTACCAACAGTTCTGATCATCATCACCACCACCAACCATGGGCTCAAAGCACGTTGGTGTCTGATGCCTCCCTCACTATTTCCTTCCATCTTTCCCTGTCTAGTGTGGAGTGGCTTAGTTTCCGTTGACTAGCTCCGCACCAATCTATTATATCATCTCCCCATTCTCTGTGGGGTCTGCCTCCCCTATTTGGACCATCCAGAAACAACTTTAATTCTTCAAGTCAATGGGAATTTGGGGGAACTGAGCTCTTTTCAAAACCTGGTTTAAAGTGTTGACATTTTTTCACCTGTAATTATAAAAATGCTGCCCCAGTCATTATTTCATTATTGTCTAACGCCAAAGAAAACTCTCCCATGGCTCAGTTTCTTTTTTTGATGTTTGAAAGATCTGGAATGTTATTGCCTCAGATACTGTCCTCATCAACGTAAGGGGGTGCAGGGCTTGGGACAGCCCTCCCCACCATCAGTCCCAGGCTCTGCCTCACTTCTTCCTGCTCCCCCTCCCATCCCCTTGCTTACTCTCATTTCATTTCTTCCTCAAGGCCACGCCCCTGCTCTACTCCTTCCTGCCCCCAGCCCACCTCTTCCTGCCCCCAGCCCACCTCTTCCTCCAAGTGACATGGCCAGGAGATTTAAAGGGGGGGGGGCATGGCTCTGGCAGCAGGGATCAGCCCGCCCCCATGCTCACAAGTGGTGGCAGGAAATGGTGCAACTCAGCCTCAGCCTACTCTGCTCACTCCCAGCCTAGTTATGAACACATTACAGATCTGTCTCCCCTCAGCCAAGGAACGTCCTCCACAGCTGAAATAGCAAAGGTTTTTGGAGCAGGTTGCAAGAAGATATTTGTACACTGAAACTTGGGTCTAATGGCCAGGGATGGACTGTCAGGTGCCCCAGCTCTCATGCCCTGGGCTCACTCATGCCTCCACCTAGTTCTCTGGGGTTTTGTGAAGCTATTTGTGGATTGTTGTTTTACTCAGAAATGTTTCCTTTCCCCAGCACCGCTGTCTAACCCTGAGCTCAAGTCTCTCCAACCAAGCTTAGAGATAGAAATTGGCCAGAACGTGACACTGTCCTGTCTGTGCACCAATGGCGCTCTTCCAATCAACTATACGTTTTTTAGAAATCAGAGTCTGTTGTCTATTATAACCATGAAGGATAGGAACCCAGCTCTGCATAACCTCACTATCAATTCTGCCAGCGACTTGGGGGAATATAAATGCAAAGCTGAAAACAGAAATGTCAACAGCTCAAAATACAGCACGGGTCTCACCTTTACTTTCCTAGGTAGGTACTTGTGTGTATCGGTGGCATTTTTCAACATCAGGAAATGAATGTTCCTAATAATCCATCCCAGCTGGCCTGATCCTGCCAGGAGCTGGAGGCACTACCTCCTATCTCTCTCTCACTTCGCACCATGAGGAAAGGGAACAAGCATTGTGGAATAAACCTCCTCAAACCCGTTCAGAACAGTTTTAAAATACTATGTGTTAAACATGTAAGCTCCAAGTCCAGAGAGGACTCTGGCAGCTGGGACTGTCATCAGATGGGGGTCAGACCATCTAGATCTGACCCTATTGTTTTACCACATCTGCGCAAAATAGCTTGCAGAATACAATCCAGGACCATTTTAGGATTGTGCTCCCAGGTGACCTTCCCCCTCCTGCCTTTAACTTTAACACAGAAAGTTAAAGTACTTGATCTGTGTAATAATTTTGATTAACATTTCCATTCTTACTGGTCAAATTAAACCTTTTCCCCTAGCAGCAGCACTATCAAAATGGCTCGGGTGTAATTATATATTTAATGGCAAGTTTCCATTAGCAGCTGGTGGTCCATGGAAAGGTTGTTCCTGTGCCAGAGAAGGCAAAAGCTGTGTTAAACATAACTATCAATTCGCCAAGCTGTCATACAGTAACATTTGAGCAGAAAGATCAAAAACAGAATGCCATTTCTTTCAAAGGGACAGAGCCTTATACTTTTCATTCCATTCATCTTGTAGCAGCAGCGGCCAGCAATCCCATAATGCTTTCCAATAGAGGACAGCGTTCTATAGCATAGAATGCCTCTGTCTAGAACTTGGACTACCAGACCCACAGCTGGTTTGAACTGGGGTTCTTCTATTGGAATCAACGGAGCTACATTGATATGGGGCAGCTGAGGAGCTGATCCTGTCTACACGTCTCCGTTTTAAATCTCATGTTTGCTTTGCACTTACTTTTGCATTCCACTGGTTTCTTTTCAGATCCTGTATCCAAACCAGTGTTGAGCGCGACTACTTCCTATGTGAAGATGGGCCAGAACGTGACCCTGTTTTGTCACTCAGAAAATGGTTCTTTTCCCATTGATTACATGTTTTTTCAAGGAAATAGGAGTATATCACGCAGAATACCTGTGTCAGAAAAGGCAAAAGCTGTGTTAAATATAACGATCAATTCTCCCAGTGACTTGGGCAACTATAAATGCAAAGCTAAAAATAAAATCTCTAATCATATAAAATATAGCAGCAGTCTCAACTTTACGCTGGCAGGTATGTGCTTCTGCTGTTACTAATAGAGCTGTGCCTATCTATGTAAACGGGGGTAGTAGGTCCAGCCCATTGATGGAACTTTGAGTGCCTGGCTGCTGGATCCACATGGCATCCTGAGGCCCAGCAGGTTAGAACGCTGCACATTCACAATCCGACTTGCTATTCCTAATGTTTTGTTCCAAGATTTTACTTTTGAGGTGAGAGGTGTGTGGAGGTGAACAAAAGAAACAAAGCCAGGGCTTTTCATTTAAACAGACAGAGCTTGGATTAGCCTATAAAGGAACACACTAAGAACAGAGGCATGAGCAAGGAATTACTTTTAAATGGCTTGGTAGAATTAAATTTGTATATATACACACACACGAGAGAATTTACCTGGCATTGGCCGGGTCCTTGTGGACGCTTAAGGCAGAAGGTCAGGGGTTCAGGAATCAGGGCTGAGAGATCTGGGGGGGCTGAAGGACTCACCTGAGTTGTCATCAGAGCAACATGACCCTTGCTGCTGCAGGCATCAGCTCCCTGGGTTTCCCAGGACCACACTGCTCAGCTGGTAGCTCTTCCGGGGGAGGGACAGGGGTTATATTGTCCAGTCCCAGCCAGCAACTCCTTCTAGGGGAGCTGGGGCTATGCTAGCTCCTCCTAGGGCCAGGGTGAAGGGCTGGGACTAGGGCTACAGCTAAGGGCTGAGGGGGGGGGGTTTAGGGCAAAGGGGCCACTTACCCTTGGCTGGTGTTCGGCAACGTGGAGAGCCCCGTCCCCATCTGGCCACTCTTTTCCTGACGTGGCCACTTCCTTGTGGTCACTCCGCAGCATAACTGTTCCTCGCACTCGCTGCCTCCAGTGGTCATTGTGGAGCATAACTGTCCCTCTGATCAACCCCCTCCCATGTGCTGGAGAACAAGCCCATTCCATGCACTTCTTGTTTTCCTGGCACACTGAACCATGACCTTACTTTAAGTTAGGGTAAGAGGAAGCTGCATACCAGATTTGGTGGCCCTAACTCTTATACTTTAAGAGTTCTTGAACAAATGGACTCATAGAAAGACAGATTCCTGGACAGAGAGATACGCACAAAGTCTCTAAAATATAGATAGATATGTATAATTTCAACAAATAATATACATTTTTATTTTAATGATTTTTAGTTTTACTAACTTTTCAATTGTGGGAAATTATGGAGGGGTTAGACAGCAGCATGGTTAGACAATAATTATTTAATTGCAATAGATATTTGAGATAAAAAGCCAAAACTTCGTACCCGTTAAAGCACAAATCACCAACATCACACACCAAAAATATGCAAAGCAAATACCCTCAAATTAACTTTCAACATTTTGTGTTTGATGAAACTCATGTTTACCAACCTCGACAGATAAAAATCTAATCCTTCCAAGACTTGTTTTTTATAGTCTTCCCCGGCACTCCTCTACCTCTAAGTTCATCCTGTACACATACAGGACATCTTAGCCAAGACCCTACACCTCCTGTGATAGGGCAGGATTGTGGCCAGGTACTCCTTTCTCTACATCTGTAGGGTTCTCAGTTTGGAGCCAGCTCTTTACTTCTTTCTCTAGGCTCAGGTTAGGGCGCCCTGCCACAGTCAGTATTAAGCACTGCTTTGCTGCTTTGCTACTTCTCCAAACTGTGATAGAAAAGGCCGGGCTTCAATTTTAATGGAAAGAAATACTTGGAACATTTTGCTGCACCTGCTCTTGGTCCCTACAAACACCCTTTCTCCTGTTGACAGAAGAGAATGACCCTTCCTATCTCCTCTGCATTTTTCTTGGGCTGCTGTTTCTGCTGGTGGTGATAGCGATTGCCCTACTGATTCCATTTTGGATCCTGCCTTGGTGTAAAGCAAGTGAGTTCTTTTGGCTTCTCCATATTTTCATTTTTCTTGTAAAATAGTGCTGGCTTTGGCTCCTTATTACATGCTATGTCCGTGGGAATGGAAGGGTTGGCTTCCTTTGTGCACATCACACACTAAGGATTCCCTGTTTCTTAGCAGCTGGTGTCAGTACTGACAATGGGGCCTGGTCCAGTTGGTATTTCCTGGCCAGTTCCCATTAAATAGGAAGGGATGGCCCAATAATATAAGCTTCAGCTTGGTAACATCAAGAGTCCGAGGGACAGATTAATTAAATCCAGTTAAGGTTAACTTATTTCACCTTTCTGAGGTAGTCATAGAGCAGTAGCCATGTTAGTCTGATCTTGGTAAAATGAAAAAAGCAGTCATGTAGCACTTTAAAGACTATCAAGATAGTTTATTAGGTGATGAGCTTTCGTGGGGCAGACCCACTTCTTCAGATCATATTCTGAAAGTGAATAGGCATGACCATTTTATAACAGAGGGATACAATGAAAGAAGGTAAAAGAATTACAAACTGGCAAATCAGCTACATAGAACAGAAAGTGTGTGGGGGTGGGAAGAAGTGACAAGGAAGGAGGAAATTGCTTACTGTAAGAGTCAATTAAGTGGCTAATCTGGGGTCACTACAAATATCAAAAGGTGGGGAGGCTGACTTTGTAATATGTAAGATCATTATCTCGATTAAGGCCCATTCGCAACCTTTTAAAATGTCAAATTTTAGCATAAATAAGAGTTTTGAGGTCTCCCTCTAATCTGGTTTCAAAATCTCTTTGTTGTAAGACACATGTTGTCAGGTCTTTAATATCTTCTGAGACAGTTGTTATATTGGAGCCCTTAGAAAAACAATATCCAACCTCCTCTGAGTAGATACAGATCTGGTGGTACTTTTAAGTGAATTTTGCCCTTGGGTAAAAAGGTCTCTCCTCACTCTAGTAGACACCTTCTTCCTCTACTACATGCTAGAAGAGGCCACGTTTCAATACAGATATAAATAAAGGGTAGCTATTAATGTAAGGTAATAAGACCCAAGAGGCACTACTCTCCATCTTTTAACTGACTCCAAATCTATCTTTAAAGCCAAATATGTCTCTTCCTATCAAAATGACACATTTTCTGGATACATTTTAGATTCCCAAAGGCAAAAAGTTACAATTATGCTTATTTTCATATAAGTATTTTTTGCCAAGATCAAGGGGACTGCTCCCATGCCGTAAGTTAGGTGTGTGCACAACTGTTTGCAGAATCAGGGCCTGGGTATCTAGACCAGGTCTACACTAGACCCAGAAGGTCAGCTTAAGGTATGCAACTCCAACTCCGTAAATAACGTAGCTGGAGTCAGCATACCTTAAGCTGAGCTTGGTGCTATCTTCACAGGGGTTAATTGACAGGAACGTTTTCTCCTGCCTGCTTCCCTTGCTCCTTTTGACTGTGAGGAGGAGTACTGGCACTGACCAAAGGCACCCTAAACTGTCTATTTAGCAGGTCTTAACTAGACCCGCTAAATTGAACTCCAGAAGATTGCTCTCCAGCCAATAATTATAGATGTGGCCTAAAATTAAAGTTCTTGCAAGAACCCTAAGATATAGCTCCAATCCCTGCTGTCTTTGGGAGCAACTATTTTCTTTTCCCACACATGCATGTAAAGATACAGTCATGCATGAATAGCACTCCTTGCCAAGGAAGTATATTCATCAGACAATTGCAATACTGTATTTAAAATATCTAACACCACCCCCCAAAAATCATAGGACATACATTTTTTAAACCGTTGATATGTAATCACTTGAATAATTTTGTTACCTTTGCATCTTGCAGGAAAACTGAAGTCAGCAGGCTCCTCAAGAAGTTTTGTTTCAACAGAAAAGGCAACAGGGTCTGAAAACTATGTGACATATACTGAGATTGGTAAATTACAAATGGCTCTTTCTTTAATCATGAAACTCACATGCAGGAATTACAATTAATTAGTCCTAGATAAATTTCATGGAAGATGCATTTGGGGCTCAAATGGGAAAGATGGGAAATGGACAATCACTACTGGCAAGTTATTGAGCCAACAGAACTCCCATTGACCTTAAGCAGACATTGCTCGGTGACTCTTGGGATCAGGCCCTATGCGAAAATCTTACGCGGCCCAATGGCTAAATTGTAGCCCACAGAATGAGATCCTTAGAATCTTGTGTGAACCATTTCTCAGGTCCAGTCAGGGAAGAATTAGAAGGAAAGTTAATGTGTGGGAGTTGTGGAATTGTTACGAGAGTGAAAACCACAAAGCAGAGAGAAAATGAAATACTAGTAAATGAAAGAGCTTAGTTTTACACATTAACTTCTTGCTAAGATAAAAAGATTTCTGGGTTGCGAGCAAAAGTGAAAACACAATTGTACAGCTTCTGCATTTCACTTTGAATTCTTCAGTGTACACTTCAGTTCTTCACTCTTAGCATTGCTCCAACCTGAAGAGATTTAGAGCCACTTTCCACCAAAACGGAGCCACAAAATAACTGGGCAGCAGCTGACAGTGTCTCCATCTTGTGTTATAATGAAGGATAAGGTTTTGCCACAAGCACTGTGGGGATTCCCTAACTTTAACGGGCCTGTGTGACTTCAGGGCTAGAGCAGCTGTCAGCCCTTTCCATAACATTGAGTCTGGACCAGTGGCAGGCAGGGCCTTCCACAGGAGCAGTGGCAGGGTTGGAGCTGTTGGTCAGTGCCCAGTGGTGGGACTCAGATTAAATACCAGCGGGAGGGGAGATTTGCAGCCAGCCAGACTTCTATAAACGTTTATAGCCCATGACCTATTCACAGACCCCGCCAGCAAGGAGAGCAAAGGGGTCAATTGCACAGGGAGCCTGGTGTTTCAAAGAAGCCTGGAGCTCCAGGCCCCTTTGAAACACCACAGCAACACCGCTCCATATGGCTTCGAGGGCTAGGGGGAGGGCCCAGCACCATGCTCTGGGAAGCACTACTGCCCTCAGCTCCACCCCTTCAGCCCAAGGCTCTGCCCCATCTGTTGACAGTCAACCCTGCTGCTTGCCTGCAACTTACTAAAAATACCCGTAACACAAATTATAACCTTAATTACTAGCCAATAGCCTGTCATAAGATGGGATTTTGAGGTCTCTCCTCCACATCCATCTCTCTCTCTCCTCCTCCTCCTCCCTCTCCCTCTCTCTCTCAGCTCTCCTCCCCCTCCTGCCTCTCATCCGGGGGACCACGGAGCCCAAATGGGAACAAGCAGCGCAAACGGCCATTTAGACTTTGTGCTCCCCATGAGGGAACAAGCAGCTGTTTGGGCACCTCGCTCCCCGTGCTGCATAGGGAGTATGGAGCCCAAATGGCTGCTTGCGCCTCTTGCTCCCGTGTGGCGACCCGGCTGAGCGGCGCAGAAGTCAGCTGAGTGCCACGGCGGGAGGCGAAGGATATGACTGAGGCAACAGCGCCACCCAGAGGCAACAGCCAGCATTTCAGTGTTACAGAGTCACAGATATTGAGCTACTATATATCTGATAACATTGTGTTGTCCCTGTGGACTAATGTTCCACCATAATGAAAACGTTGCAGGACGGGTACCACACTAGGATTATCTAGAATTTGTCAGTTCTCTCCTTAAAATTTCCCCCACCACACTTAGAGGCTGGGAGTAAGGGAAGATGCCTCCCCTCTCACTATCTTCACCACTCTTGTTTCAAGCAACTGGAATAAAGATAGGAAAATGGGTATCTTCCCTCTCTCTACCCTGACCTGTCAGAGGAGGAATAGGGAGGCATGTTGGCTGTTTTGCTCCATTAGCTCTGCATTCTGAAAATTTTCACTTGAGGGAGAGATGAGCGCTCAACTTGCACTGTCCAAGAGTAAGTAAAGGAAACAAAAGCAAACTTCTGTGAGAGGCACAGTATCTCTCATATTGCAGGCTGAGTCTCAGTGCCCTTTCAAAAGCTTAAATTCACCATGCGGTCATCTCCTGCAACTGAACCTGAACTCTTTATCACTTGTTTCCATCCAGAGTATGCTAAATCTGAAGAAATGGAGTATGCTAATGTATTGATTACTGGAAAGGAAGACAACAGGAAAGGTAGCAACATGGAGCTTTTCCTATTTGCAACATCCACTATTTGCAAATTTATACCACTAGTGTTCTGGAAATGGAATAAAAACTGATTTAAGCATCCCAAACACTTCTGTGGATTAATGACAAAACTATCCCATGCATTTTGGAGTTTGCTGCGCATTCACATCGTAATCAATGTTCACTTGGAATAGAGTCTGTGGTTAGCATTCAAAGGGCATTTGAAGATGAAAAGACAAATGAATTATGGTTGCAAACAAGCACCAAAATACAACCGCAATTCATCTACAAGCGTAACCTACCAACATCTAGACTAATGTGTTGGAGGTAGAACGTTGGTTGTATATGGAAAAGTTTGAGCACAGGACTGGCCAACAGGAATTCCCATGCATTAATACTGCTGCTGACATTGAGTCAAAGTACTGAGTCAGTTTCTCCTTTCTAAAATAAGAATAATACTTTCACACTTTGTAGAATTTGTGAATTCCAATCAATTCCCACACTACAATCTTCATTAAGCCAAAATTAAGGTTTATAGTACATACAGATAACAAAGGGTTTTTTTGTTTGTTTTTTGTTGTTGTTTTTTTAAACAAATAGTGTAGCTAATTAAAAAAAACCTAGGAAAAAAGTCAGGAAATTGTTAAGATTAAATATTTGAGTATGAAAATCAGTGGTAGGGAGGGGATGAAGTGGTCCACAAAAAAGCTCCCCACTTTATTAGGTGTCTGTGGGATAAAATAGTTAAGACTGCCTGCTAAATAGGCAAACTTATAACTCCAGTTAGAATACTTGATCTGAGAGTAACTACCAATAAGTATCTGGGATCCCAAATGTAACAGCTTCTCTCTCAAACTGTCCTATTTGCATTGTTCTTTTTTGAGTTGCAAGAGGCATGTTTCAATGTAGATTGATTACTGTGGACTTTTTTAAATAGTTATTGATCATGCCTTTTCTGACTTACAGTGAACATAAGGGCAGATACTACTATTGTCTACTCTGAAATCATCAGGAGAGATGAAATGCAAGGTAAGTTTCCTTTATGGTAATTTACATGAGGAAGATTTATATAAAATATTCTTAAAAAGAGAACCTCTACCCCAGTGAATTTTGCTAGCATCACCATGCTAGTATAGAAAGCTCACAGGAAAACAGTTAGATGCTGGTTTCCTGGCCTAATTATTCTGTAATCAGATAATGATGTTACTCTCCTCCCTTGCCAATCTTAAAGAATGACTCCCTCTGACTTTGAAACTACAATTTGATCAAGATGGAAACACAAAACATATTAGAAAAAGTTCATTGATGCCCAGATTTCTTCACTAATGCCCAGTATCTTATTCCACAAGTAATGCCATTATAGCCAATGTGGCTAGATGTTTTTTTAAAAGGTACCAACAACATGGTGGTACAACTTGAATTTCCATTGGCATTACTCCTTTGACATAAGGGTGAAGGAGTAAGCCAGCAATTAGCTAACATGATCCAATTGTAAGGTGCTCATACAGAGAGCTTTGCTCCATCAGGAATTTTAGGAAACAACAGGATTTTAAACAAGTAGAGAATAAAAAGGCCTTTTTCAGCCTGTACTTACATTAAAGGTCTGTCCCAGTAGCAGTTTGTTTGGCAGGCTCTCTCCCTAAAAGATCCATTGTTATCAAGGCAAACCACCACCGCCTGCCAAGGAGCAGCTTCCCACGACTCCCAGGTACCAATTTTTTTTACTTGAGTAGGACTCCTGCTGGTACTCTCCCAGTGTTTTCCATTTCTGGGAGTGGAGCTTGACAAGACACTGCAAAAGTTAACTTTTCCCCTGCCTGGGTCCGTTACAAAATTAGTAAATTACCCACTCTCTAATGCTCCCCACTCACATTATAGCAATTTTCCCCCTATGTTAATACATTACTTGAAATAATGTTTACAACTTAGTCCTTCAAATTGGTCTGCAGCTTTCAAACCCTTGAAAAGCTGAAGAAACAACGAATAATGTATTGCAACAAAGGAAGTTTAGGCTGGACATTAGGAAAGACTTCCTAACTGTCAGCACGATTAAGCACTGGAATAAATTGCCTAGGGAGATTGTGGAATCTTCATCACTGGATATTTTTAAGATATTTATAAACACTAGATTAGAGAAACACGTGTCAGAGATGATCTAGATGGTGCCTGGTTCTGCCATGAGAACAGGGGACTGGACCCAACCTCTACAAGTCCCTTCCAGTTCTATGATTCTTTATTATATTCAAACAAGAAATCATAGTGGTCAGAAGACTTAACTGGAGAACAGAAACAATATGGAGAAACATTCACCTAACGCATGCTTCCATTCTCTAAAAACAATGCATTCCAACAGTCTTACTTTTCAAGTGATCTTTTCCACATTTAAGTTTTTTAAAATCTTATGTATTGACTCCCCTGTTTATCTTCCTACATTTGTCACTATATCTCAGTATTATCTAGACTGTCAACCACCGAAAACTTACTCAATTTACTAAAAATATCCTTTCCTACAGGAGACCAAATTCTCTAGAACATGCCTTTGAGTCTGCACTGCAAAAAGAAGCAAAACCAGATCTATCCATCAGAGGCAGATGAGGGCTAATAACGTTCATTTGAAGAGACTACCAATTAGAAAACTTCCACAGCCAGCAAAGCTTACCCTTATCTCAAACTGGCAGACTTGGCAGCCAAACATGATTAGTGATTTGCCTCCCCTGCTTATGGAGGATAGATCTGGTTTTGTCTCTTTCTTCAGTGTAAGTTGAAAGATCTTCATAGGAGGATTTGGATTTAATAGCAAATGGGCGCATTACAAAGCTTTATCAATACTGGTTTTGAAGGACGTCATGAGTATTTCCCCACTCATCTAAATAAGAACAACCGATCTCTAGCAAACAGTACGGTATTGTGACTCATCAGAATTCCTGACATGTACTCCATCTGGGCCACTGATTTTGTTTGGAAATCAATGCAAACACAAAGATACAAAATTCCTTTTATTAGAGACGTTTTCATTTATACATTTTTAGCTGCTGTAATGTACTTTTTAACAAAGTCCTTCAGTCGAGAGATGTGCATCATTTCTTTCATGGTGGTGTCTCTGCTTCTTAGCTGAACCACGCCATTCTCCAGAGTAGCATCACTGATCAAGACTGTGAAGAGGACACTCATCTCATCATACCTGCCAAAGAAGGAACACTCATTATTGCTGTAACAGTATTGGTGTCTTGGTGTGCAACAGACTTAAATTGGGGTTATATCCCAGAGCACTGTATATATGTTCAAGTTTTTCTATTTTGTTCTGTGTCCAATATGAAGAAGCCTGTTTTCTTACTTTCAGCTGCTTAAACCTTCTCTAGTTAACTGTGGTAAGTTATTAGATTCCTTTGCAACAAAAGGAGAATTTAATTTAATAATCTACAACAGGGACATTTTTCATAGTGGAGAAATAATAACATTTTTCTCCTCTTTACTAGCTTACACAACCATGCTTCAAAGAGCAATGTACATGTATGTGACTTATTAAATTTGCTATGTTAAAACAGTATGAGTTATTGCTTGTTGAAAAACCTCAATTAATGTTAAGAGAAAAGCACAATCTAAATTCTTTTCACTCCTTAAATCTATTTATGTCTTGTAGACTAATATAGACCAGTTTCAGCCATCTTAGCTGGCATGAGCAATTCTTATACAGCAGGACTGCTTGAACAAACAATTACTACTAAAGCTGGTAGTGACAGCAGGGCTGGATTCTATATAACAATTGTTTCAAATCAAATGGCTTAAGAATGAACTGCAGAAATCAGTCCTGACACAAAACTGGATGCAAGCTGATTCAGTGGATGTGTAATTTACTTTAGGGAACCACAATTTTCAGTCAGAATTTCCCAAATGGTTTATTATTAGCAACTAAAGAGAAAAAAAAGTTGAAGTATGGAAATTAAGAGTACTGAAATCCCTCGTTATTTGAAGTGAATACGCATTAGAGATAAAGTCTCAATCTGTGTTTTAATACATATCTTCAGTTATTTGATTACTGTACTTGATGATTTCATAATGAAATCACATTGATTTTTGCTACCTTTAAGGAAAGTCAAATTTCTACCTGACATTTTATTTCTCTCTTACTTTGAGTAGAGTTGCTCCAAAGGCATCTGCATGGTTTCAAGATATCCAGGCCACACAGAAATTCCATTATCTATTAATTCGTTAAACAGCCCCTGGCATACCTAGGAAAAAAAGAGGCTTAAAATATTGGGAGAAGGAGCTATGTCAACTGTAGTATCTATTTTATATTAAAGCTGATTTATAATGTTTATATATTAACAGCAACACACACTCGGATAAGAGAGCACTACTGCTAAGAAATCTTCATTTTTATACATATGCATGCTTAAATATATAGGTGGGAAAGACCTTTTTATTTCATACACTAATTTGAAAAGTCAAGTTTTCATCTGCAGATTTCCTCCCTACTACTGTTAGTCTTAAGACTACTATGAAGGATTAAATAAATTTAGGTGGGTTTTTTAAAGTTTGTTTATTCTGCATGTAATTAATGTCCCTATTCTATCAATAGTGCTGGAGGAAGGGCAGTCGTTAAAACGCTGGACATTTCTGTTCCCCATTATATGTGGGATTAGTCACAGTGGAGCCAACAGATATGCCAATGCCCCCAAATTCACATGGCAACGCCTATCATGCAGGGAATACGGACTTTTGCAAGGATTCCTAAATCCTGCACAGTGTGAACATTGCTGTTTCACTGCAGTGAAGACCCTCCATGCACACGAAGGATGAAAACATTCACTCAGTGTGCAGCGGCAGTCAAAAAAGTATATAGACTGTTAGGAATCATTAAAAAAGCAAGAGAATAAATCTTATTGCCTCTATATAAAACCATAGTATACCCACACCTTGAATACTATGCACAGATGTGGTTGCCTCATTTCAAAAAGATATATTGGCATTGGAAAAGGTTCAGAAGAGAGCAACAAAAATGATTAGGGGTTTGGAACAGGTTCCATATGAAGAGAGATTAAAAAGACTGGGTCTTCTCATCGTAGAAAAAAAAAGAAGAAGAGATTAAGGGGGGATATGATAGAGGTCTATAAAATCATGACTGGTGTGGAAAAAGTGAATAAGGAAAAGTTATTTACTTATTCTCACAATATAAGAACTACGGATCACCAAATGAATAGGCAGCAAGTTTAAAAACAAACAAAAGGAAGTTTTTCATCAGTCAGTGCACCGTGAACCAGTGGAACTCCTTGCCAGAAGATGTGCTGAAGGCTAGGACTTTAACAGGGTTAAAAAAAGAGCTACCGTATTTTCCGGCTCTGGCAAAGCCTCAGAGGCGTGGGACCCTGCCACGGCTGCGGCTTTGCTCCCGGTGCCCCTGGTCTGCTGGAGACGGTCCCCAGCAGACCAGAGGCACCGGGAGCAAAGCTGCAGCAGCGGCG